GAGGGGGGATGGGCTGGAGAGGGGGATGGGCTGGAGAGGGGGATGGGCTGGAGAGGGAGAGCTGGATTCTTGGCCAATGGAAGTGACTTCCAAACAGTGCCTCCAAATGGAGACACCAAGGTCTGCTGAAAACGTGGGCTTGGAGCTGGGGTGAAGGCTGGGACTGGAGGTGAGTGGGGATTAGACTCATGGCATCTGGGTGGCAGGTGACTCACTGGGAATGACCCGAGCTACAGAGGAAGGTGTGGTGTGGTATAGAGATGGAGGGAAGCAAAGTGCCCGAGTGCCAGGATCTGAACACTGCAGTGTGCTTTCCATGGCTACAAAAGTTATTACACAATCCAGCCATGTCCAGCTGCTGTCCCACGCTCACAGAGGCCCAGGGAGTGGGGTAATCTGAGCCCCACATTCTGAGCCCAGAGAGGTGAGGTCAGAAGGCAAGGGTCACACAGTGAGTAGAATTGGTGCCCACAAATGGACTCCAAGACTTAGGCTAGTTTTGTTCCTTCAAAGGTGGAACCCTGACTTTGTGGGTCTGTGAGGTGCTGCAGACCCTTGTCTTTTGCTCAGGAAGCTGTGCGTGGAAGCGAGATTGCTCTGATTCCTGAGCCTGCCTATGGGAGGCTGGAGTACATGCGGCCCTGGGAAGGGCAGAATTCCCAGAGAGGATGGAGCTTGTTCTTGCACTTGACTTATACATGTCCCCAGTCCCCAGGCTAAGGAAAGATTCCTCGTGTAACAGTCATCCAGAGGAGGCTCCCTCTAGAAGCCAGGGAAGGGTGAGGGCCTAGGGAGAGACTGCCTCTCCAGTACAAACAGACACTTATCTGAAGATGGGTTCTTGAGAACCCTCAAGGCCATCCACTCTCTTCTCAAAGGCCACACAAAAGCCAGGATCCTGATGACAGAGGACATGGGAATGGGATGTGGACCTGGGTTTTCCTTTCTTGTGCCTGTTTCTTTCCATTGTCCCACAAATGCAAAGTTGCAATTAAGACACATCCTAGTTTCTGTGGTGTGTGTGCATGTGTGTGTGTGTGTGTGTGTGTGTGTGTGTGTGTGTGTGTGTGTGTGTGTTGTTAGTTGGTCAAGCCCACAGCTTGCTCAGATGAGGCAAGTACTCTACCACTGAACTCTATCTCCAGCTCTAACTTCATATACATAGTTCTTCTAATACCCAAAGCAGACAGGTACAGTTGTCATCCCCATACTCCAGATGGAGAAACTGAGACTCAGTCACATAGCTCTGCACACTTGAGCCCACTCTTCTGCCTCTCTGTATACTACTTGTGTCCTTAGCATGTAGGAACAGGTTAGGCACTTCTCCTCAGGGAAACCTGTGGTCTGAGGGAGAGGGTCCAATAAACAAAAAGCACATGGTCTAAGCACCCATACTGAAAATGTGCAGGAGGATCAGCTGAGAAGGGGGCAGGTGAGACAGATGGGATGGGCCTGGCTTGTCTTGGGACGAGTGAGGGCTTCCTTGTGGACGTGACCTGTGAGTTGGGGTCTGACAGATCAAGGGGAGGAGGCTTCCAGGCAGGAGAAATGATCCCTGTAAACCCCCAACCTTAGTGTCCCCTTTAGGACTTCTAGACTCTAGGAGAAGAGTCTTGGGAGCCCTTCTAGCCTCCAGGGGGTATGGGGAGACCTGGACTCTATGTCTTAGGCCACATCAGAGAGGACTTTAGTAATGAGGGCAGGTTCAGGTTAGCCTGGTTTCCATCTGGCAGTGCATCAGTAGGCCTGTTGGGATGGCCAAGCCAGGAGCTCTTAGGTCAGAGCTCTCAACAAGAGCATGGCCTCTTGTTTAGTCCCTGCCCTTCCTGGCCAGCCAGAGGCCTGGGGTCCCTGTCCTTCAAAAGAGCAGGCTCTCATCCTAAGACAGCCACAGAGATGCCATTGAGTTCTGTCCCTCACACCCCATGGTGGTAGACCATGGTGGCCAGCTGTGTATTTTGGAGGCTGGTCACCAAGACGCAGAGCTGGGTAACTTCTGAAGGAATGTGGCCCTCTGCACCTGACACCTGGACCCATAGCTCCCCCTACCTCTGCCAGTCTTACCTCTAGGGCACCTGGAAGGCTGGGCTGAGACCGTATGTGTCGGTGGCAGCCGCACCTCTTTCAGCAGCTGTCTGACCACCTGACTCAGTCCATGGCCAACTGCTGCAAGAAGACTGTGTGGTTCCCCTGCCCGCACACACCAGGAAGAGGCTGGTGGGAGTGCAGGTCAGGGCAGATGTGCAGGTCCTGCGGCACTGAATATCAGGTTTCCATCACCCTTTGGCTCAGTGGGTCACAAGAGTCCCACAAGGTCCACGTAACTTCTAGACAAAACCACATGTAATTTGAAAAGCACCGACTGTCCCCTTTCTTCCCTGGCTTCTCTATAGACAGCAGAGATCTTGTTCTAGAAGCTTCCCATTTATCTCCTTCCCTCTATCTCAAATGGCCTTAACAAGAGATGGACTCACTGGGTGACCAAGATCCAGTGATCTACTCCTACGTGGGGGGACAGTTTAAGAACCAGGGAGAGGGGATGCCCACTGGGACCCAGCATCTGCCTCCACACATTCTCCACACACCTCACAAGCTCCAAGAGAGCTCTCGCAACCATGGGTATTTCAGAACCAGTCTTAGCTGTTTGACTGGAGACAGGCAGGGTAGGTAATGGGTAGACAATAGGTAGAAAGCGTAGGAACCACAGCTGCATACTCAAGGACCAAGTGATTTATAACCTCCATTAATTCTCACAAGAGTTTCATGAGTGAGGTGCTGTGACTGTTCCTATCCACAAGCGAGGGATGGCCAGGGCAAGCAGGGCAGGGATCAACCTTTGTACTGATTATTTCTTTTGTGGCTGTAGCAAAATACCAAACAAAACCAACTTAAGGAAGGAAGAGTTGGTTTTGGCTCACAGGTAGAGGGTGCAGTCTACCCTGGCGGGGACACTGTGGCTGCAGAATCATGCAGCAGCAGGTAACATTGTACTCAGTCGGGAAGCAGAGACATGGATGCTGGTGCTCAGCTTGCTCCCTTTTCTCTGTTCAGTAAGGGACTCCGCTTCACAGAATGGCACCATCCACATTTAGGGTGTGACTTCCCTCTTCAATTAGCCCAGTCTAAGCAATCACTCAGATGTTCGTTTCCATGGCAACATTGTCCCATTGACAATTGGGATTAACCATCACAAGCCCCAAGCTAAGTCCGGGGACCAGTGAGAAAGAAGTGTGGTTCAGGGAGAAGCAACCTTGAGTAAGATGCTGGGGCTGAGAGAACAGGCTTAGGTTGTCTTTTCACTGCCCCCGAAAACTTAGATATAACTCACAGGGTCTCACAGTGGCCCCTTGCCCACTGTGACTGACTAATTCTCTGTCATAGGAACCCAATCCATTCACAGTAGGAAGCTATGTAGCATTTATGTCCTTCACCTACTAGACACAGGAGCATGGCTCACACTCTCCCCCACCCACGATGGTCACCAAAACTGTCTCCAAACATTTCCAGATGCAGTCTGCTGAGAACCATTGACCTAGTACAGCAGATCAAGGTGTGTCGGATCTGTGGAGTCCACACAGCTGAGGAGTCTGTGAGGAATGAAAGTTAATGTTCGGCTCCATCAAATATGGTCTCTGCAATTTGTCTTAACCCAGTGGTTCTCAAGCTTCTTAATACTGTGACCCTTTAATACAGTCCCTCGTATTGTGGTGACCTCGACCATAAAACTATTTTTGTTACTACTTCATAACTGTAACTTTGCTACTGTTGTGAATCATATAAATATCTGTGTTTTCTGAAGACTCTGATGACCCCTGTGAAAGGATCATTCAGCCCCCAAAGGGGTCGAGACCCACAAGTTGAGAATCACTGGTCTTAAGCAGTCCTTCTAGAACTACCTTTGGAAAACCTTTAACTTCCAATCTTCTTGCCTTCATCTCCCAAGTGCTGTGACTACAGGCGTGTGCCATCATCCCATGTATGAGGACTGATCCAGAGCCTTTGTATGTGCTAGACAAATACTTTAACCAACTAAGCCACATCCCTGCCTTCTCTGATATATGCTGACATTGGAGACATTATCCACACAAGCTGCTGCGCTTTATAATCTCCTCCCTATCTTACATAAGGCCCCGTGGGCCCTGCTCCAGACCTACGAGAATCCAAGCCCAGGTTTCCGTATGAGCCCTCTAGGTGACTCTTATGGGAGTCTAGGCCTCAAATCACTGATGTAGTTGAAATGCATTAGCTTGGTTTAAATCTCAGGAAAGTCCAAACCACTCCCCTTTGTGTGAGGCAAGTAGGGAAGCCTGTGTCCAAAAGTGCCCTGGAGGAGGATGGTGGGGTGTGTCAGGCTGCCTGTGATCACTGCTGGATGTGACAGTACCTCTACAAAGCCCTCAGCCCTGCCTCTCCAGCTCCCCTGAAAGACACCTGTGTATGAGGCTGGTCAGTTCTCACCTGGCTCAGCTCCTAGAATCAGGAAGGGAAATTCTTGGGCTATTAAATACTTGGCAGGCTAAGTGCTGTGGAGTGATTGTATCGGAATAAGGAATGCATTATAGGAAGTGATAGTTTTCCATTCTGCATTTCAGCATTCAGTAATTGGGGCAATCCATTCCCTCAGTGGGGCTATGTGCCTCTGAGACTTGCTTCCTAGGGTTCTTTTCTGGAATGTAGCATACCTTCTGGACTATAAACATAGCTCTCAGAGGGTCTCTGGGAGCTCATCTTGGGTTGGACATATTCCTGGGCAGGGTCTTCCAAAGAGGTGCTGGCTCTTATGGGATACATCTATGTGGCTCTCAACAGGTCACGGCCTTATCTGTTTATTGTCCATTAAATGCAGGCAGTAATGGAGATTGCCATAAGTTCTGCATTGCAGGGGATTTTGATCCGAAAAAGCACTTTACAGATTGTACAAGCAATATTTGATTTGATTCTTTAAACTGAAATTAATGTAACTCTAGGCCCTGACCCTGGAGGCTGGGTTGGGGAGGCAGTTACTTCTGAGGAGCCTGTGGTGAGCTTCCTGCAGCCCATGAGGATGTGGGGTTTGTAGCCTACCTGGAAAATGAGGTGTTTTATGTGTGGGGGACTTGCTCATGGCCTGTGACATCCTTCAGGGCTACGGCTCTGTGGGACCCATGTAAAGCCTGGGCATGGATTCTACTGATGCTCCAGGCTCAGAGTCAGCTTTGAACTTTCTATCCTCCTGCCTCAGCCTCCCAAGTAGTTGAGATTTCAGGCATGATTTCCAGGCCCTACTCCAGTAACTTGGGAATTCAGTGCCTCCCTTTGCTTATGCACCCAAGGAAATTGAGGCAGCCATTGATAAAGTCCCTTAACTCAGGTCACAGAGCTCATGAATCAGAGTGAGGTGGCCAGTTCCCTCCACAGCACTTCCTCTCTTCTGTGTTCCTGAATTCTGCCAAACTCACCCCAAAAATCAACCTGTACAGTAGGGTTTCAGACGAGCCAGCTCTGTCTTCCCATCCCCAGCACTTCCTTCTTTAAGTCCTTAGATTTCTTATTTCCCCGGCCTCGCCTCACTGCCCTCCCCTGATCCGTGTCCACTGGCCACACTGGCTGTCTTAGTTCCTGTTCTGTTGCTGCAGAGACACCAAGGCTACTCTTATAAAAGACAGCATTTAATTGGGGCTTGCTTACAGTTCAGAGGTGTAGTCCATTGTCATCATGGCAGGGAGCATGGTGGCATGCAGGCAGACATGATGCTGGAGAAGGAGCTGAGGGTTCTACATCCTGATCCTCAGGCAGCAGGGAGAGAGAATCCGGGCTTGGCATGGGCGTCTGAAAGCTCAAAGCCCACCCCCAGTGGCACACTTCCTCCAACAAGGCCACACCTCCTAATCCTTCTAATCCTATCAAAAAGTTCCACTCCCTGGTGACTAAGCGTTTAAATACATAAACCCTTTGGGGAGGTATTCTTATTCAACTGCCACACGGGGCCTTCCTTTGATTCCTCCTATATAGTGGCAGCTTTACTCTGGAGACACTTTGTTTAAAATTTGGAATCCTCTCTAGGGAGACATAGATAGATGAGTCCTGAGCCATAGCTTGGTGAGTGCACGGCAGGCTGGATTTTAGCTCCCTGTCACACCTTGATATATGTGCAGCGCACAAACTACTTAGCTGTGTGCAGCAGCCACGGGAGCTTTGCACATGCTGATGCTTCCTCACCTGGCCAGTCTCTGGTCCCAGAGTTAGCTAACTTGGCTGCCATTGGCACACCTGGGGAAAGTGGGCCTCAATTAAGGCATTGCCTCCATCAGAGTTGACTGAGGGCACGTCTGTGGCGTGTTTTCTTGATTGCAAATTGATGTATGAGGCCCACTGTGGGCAGTACATCCGCAGGGCGCTGGCCTGGCCTGTGCTGCAGTTAAACAGGGGAAGAAGCCACTAAGAAGGCTCCCCCATGATCTCAGCTTCAGTTTCCGCCTCTAGGTCCCGGCCTTGAGTTCCTCTTCTGGCTTCCCTCAACAGTGTAACCTGTAAGCCACACAAACCCTTTCCTCCCCAAATAGGTTTTGGCCAGTGTTTTATCACAGCAACAAAAGTAAATGAGAACAACCCCTGTCTCATCTCTGTTCAAGCCACCTAGCCAAGAAATCTGAGCCTAAATCCTGAATGGAAGCCTTTGTTTTAACCACATTTATAACAATCACATTTATAATATTTTGTTCTCTTCCTTCTTGTGATTAAGCCGCATCTCAAATAAAATGGTAGTCATATTGGTGGGTATTTGATTGACATCTGCTTCCCCTGAACCAGAAACTCACAGAGGTTGGGCACTGTAAATGTGTTTCGTGTGTGTCCTTTGTGAATCACTAAACACTCATAATACTCACTGAATGAATGAATGCATGGAGTTTACTAACCCCGCTACCACGTGGTCAGCCCTGTCTCAGATGAAAGGGATCTGATGAGAACTTTGGAGGGTCACAATCCTTCCTCCCTAGGATTCTGGTGAGGTGGACATCCCACGGTCTGCACTGGGAGGCCAAGGTTCCACAGGGAGGCATAAGCGGATGGAGCTGGTGCTCAGCTGGCTAAGAATCACCTTCAGCTTAATTTACACAGCTGATGCATTTTTCTATATTAATCAAAGATTAAACACAAGCACACACAGCAAAGCCTTTTCCTCTGCTTGTCGACAGCTCTAAAAGTTCCAGTTGCCTCTGCTGAGGGCTGCTGGCTCAGCTCCTGGCTCCTGTCTTCTGCAAAAGGGAGGGTGGCATGGGAGTGGCAGAAAAACAGCCCGCTGTGGGCATGGGCCAGCCAGTTCTCACTAGATGAGATTCCTGTCCCGAGACTACAAGCAGTGGTGAGGCCTGAGGAACCCTGTGACTATTTATTACACATATGTGCTGGGCCAAGCTACTTCATTGCCCCTTGCCTCAGTTTCTCCATTTGTAAGTTATGAGAATATCTCTCCAGGAAGGCTGGCCACTCACCACCCACAGCAGGTGTTCAATAAGTGGATATTAGTTCTCAGGGCATCACATTTACTAGCCCATGGAGTCTCAGGTCCCAACCTGGCAGGATCTTCCCAAGTAGTCACCTTAGGGCAGCACCCTCCCCCTCCCCAACCTGAAGTGCAAAGGTCTGTTAGGTTCAGAGCTGGGCTGTGACCTGAGGTGGCTGTCTGTGAGTGCTCCGTGCTGATACCCTGCCTGCCACTCAAGAACACCTCTCTGTCACCTGGGACTTCACAGCTCTGAGGACACAGCTGTACCTGTATCTTCTTTCTATTGTTCCCTAATACAATACATACTGATGTCCACACCATTGGCATAAAATAAATGCTTGTTGTATAAAAACAAATACAACAAGAGGTCCAGGAACCTCAGAAAGGACAAAGGTGGCTTCTTAGAAGCAGGCATCTTTGGCAAGAGGAAGAAGGCAGAGGAAATGACTGCCTCATACCTGTCCTTTTCCAGGACGGTGGAGCTCAGCCTCGAGGGCAGGAGTGGGCCACAACAAAATGAAGGGCAGTAGCTTCCCAGCATGTCCCCTACCCAAGACATTTTCAGTCTGGATATGAGCTGCCTTTCTTCTTTCTCTGTCCCTCTGTCAGGATACATGCCAGAGACACATGCAGATGCTTTGAGATGGATATTTACTTATTCATTCATGTGTACATTTATTTTCAGCATGGGGTTTGAACTTGCAGCCTTATGCATTCTAAGCACAAGCTTTACCCCTGAGTTATGCACCTAGTCCAGGATGAATGTTTTGACTGTGTAAAATTGCATGTTCAGAAGAAACAGCAGCTCTCTTTTGAGCCTCTGAGGGATGCTGAGAGATTGATACCAACACCAGGCTCTGTCTTGTTTCTCAGGTTATGGCCACATGTACCCTGTTACCAGGCTTGGCAAGTTCCTGTGCATGCTCTATGCTCTCTTTGGAATCCCTTTGATGTTCCTGGTCCTCACAGACATAGGGGACATCCTAGCCACCATCTTATCCAGGGCTTACAATCGGTTCCAGGCTCTCCTTTGCCTCCCCCACGCTCCCTCCAAGTGGTGCTCCAGCTTGCTCTGCAGGAGGCAGCCTGAGAGCAAACCTGTGGCTGAAACCGTCCCTCAGATTGTCATCAGTGCTGGGGTGGATGAGTTCCTAGACCCCCAGCCATACCGGGAGCCTGCATCTCCAAGCTGCAATGTGGAGCTGTTTGAGAGATTAGTTGCACAAGAGAAACAGGACAAGCTACAACCACCCACGATGCGGCCTGTAGAGAGGAGCAGCTCATGTCCCGAGCTGGTGCTGGGACGACTGTCCTGTTCTATCCTTAGCAATCTGGATGAAGTGGGCCAGCAGGTGGAGAGGCTGGACATCCCTCTCCCCGTCATCGCCCTGGTCATCTTTGCCTACATCTCCTGTGCAGCTGCTGTCCTCCCATTCTGGGAGACGGAGCTGGGCTTCGAGGATGCCTTCTACTTCTGCTTCGTCACACTGACCACCATTGGGTTCGGGGACATCACCCTAGATCACCCCCACTTCTTCCTCTTCTTCTCCATTTATATCATTGTCGGCATGGAGATCGTGTTCATCGCCTTCAAACTGATGCAGAACAGGCTCCTACATACCTACAAAACCCTCATGCTGTTTTTTTGCAAAAGGGAAGTTTCCCTACCTTGCTAAAAAGTGTGGGCTCCGGCAGCTCGGGGGTGACAGACAAGGCCCTGCAGGTCCCCTCACCTTGTTTTTGGTACACAAGGATTAGAACCATGATAACTCGCCATCTGAGCTGCCGAGGCTTGGGAAACAAAGTCTGTGTGAGGACTGTGCTCAGTGTTGAGATCCTTCAGAAGCTGAGCCACACTGGTTCCTAGGACAAGAGTGAAGGTCATCTCCATCGTTTCCAGTCCAATCAGTGTCCCTGTCCACACTTTAGAAAGGTACCATTTTAAGAATATGAAACAACCTGATGATGTCACTGCTTTCTTGTGACAGGAGGGAAAAAATTAGACCTTTGTTCTTGGCGTTTGTACTTTGAGGGAAGTTAAAATCTTCCCAATTGGCCTCAGCCTCCCCTGAACAGCCAAAGTGTATCCGAGTAACCTGCTTCGATGAATGACTGCGTGGATGCTGGACACCTGCCCAGCATGGGGTGCTGACATCACTAAGTGGAGCTGTCATCTGGGAGAAGTCTTCCTGGCCAGATTCTAGTAGAACACCTGTCTCACACTCAGCTCATGGATGATGCCGCTTGAGCGAACTAGCTGGTGATGGTGTTGTCACCTGCAGGGATGGATTAGTTCCCACTGGGTGGAGAAACTCTAGAGCTGCCCCTGAGTGGTCGACATGGAATAGGTGCCCCACCCACATGTCCTGGAAAGTTACTCCCTTTGTAATCTGTTTTTGGCCAGTAAGGTGTGAGCATGTGCTAGGTCAGCTAGAAATGCCAAAGAGGGAACAGCCTTAATCCATGGACGATGGGGTGGACAGCTGGCACCAGGCTGCCTTGCCCTTCCCATATGAGAGCTCTGGGCTGTGCTGTACACGTTCTCCCCTTTCCCCAGGGGGCCTCGGGTGATCACGATCACACTCTGAAGTGGCCCCCGGTCTCGTCATCCGCCTCTCCATCTGTGGGGTCCCCTCCTGTAGAACATACCCCGACTCACATCTGTCTCCAGCTTCTGAGGACCAAGAAGAGGACAATAACAGGTGACCCAGGGACTGGCTGGCAAGGTTAGGGGAAGCACGAGTCCTAGTTTCTCTATTTGAAGGTTATTGGAAATGCCTTCTGACTGCATCTGCAAGTCCTGCAATTAGCCCTGGGTAAGTGGTGGCTGGTGCTACAGGGAGGAACTGAGGACCTGGGCCAGAAGGGCTCATTGTCCTGTCTTAGATTCCAGCCACTTCTCAGGAGGGTTAGGGTCTCTGGAGCTTTCCCCATCTCCCCCACAAGGTTAAATCCTTAACTCCTCCAGCCCTTGAAGATCTACCTCAGGCCATGGAATCGACAGATGTAAGCAGGAACCCGTGAGAACACAGGAAACACCAGGGTGAACATCAGGCCGGTGCTCGGGGTTTGTCGTCTGACATGCCCCAAGCTTCGTTAGTACCGGCAAGGTGTGGCAAAGCCCCTCAAATCCAAGTTCACTGAAGACTGCCCCCTCCAAGGGGCAGGTGATGGGAATGGAGGGTGCCTAGAAGTTCTACAGATACCCCGGAACATTGGCTATTTACCGGGATAAGGACATGGGAGGATGAACCAAATGACAGGTGGCATGAACTCCTCAGTGACCCACAGCTCTCTTTTTCTTTTTAAAAAAAATCTATCATCTATGTCTGTCTGTCTGTCTAGTCCTTGTGTGTGCACGTGCACATGTGCCAAGGCAGGTCGCAGAGTACAGTTTGTAGAGTTGGTTCTCTCCTTCTACCATGTGTGTCTTGGGGATCGAGCTCAGATCGTCAAACTTGGTGGCCATCACTTCGGTCCACTGAGCCGTCTCATCAAATCCATGCTGGCTTTGGATTTGGCACACAGTCAAGGATGACCTTGAACTTCTGATCTTTCTGCCTCTACCTCCTAAGTGCTGGGATTACAGAGTCTGCCTCTCTACTTGGTTTATTCAGTGCCGAGGACCAAACCCAGGGCTTGATGCATGGGAGGTAGTCCTTCACCTACTGAGCTACAGCCCGGCCTGCCACTTCCTACACCCACCCTGCCACTTCCTATACCCACCCTGCCACTTCCTACACCCACCCTGCCACTTCCTACACCCCACCCTGCCACTTCCTACACCCCACCCTACCACTTCCTACACCCACCCTGCCACTTCCTACACCCTAACCTACACCCCACCCTACCACTTCCTACACCCCACCCTGCCACTTCCTACACCCACCCTGCCACTTCCTACACCCTAACCTACACCCCACCCTACCACTTCCTACACCCCACCCTACACCCCACCCTACCACTTCCTACACCCCACCCTGCCACTTTCTATACCTTACTCTGACACTTCCTACACCCCAGCCCTACCACTTCCTTCCTGAGGCAAAGACAGACACGGAGGCTGTCAGGAAATCACATTATGTAAATAAAGTAGATGAAATGCCTTGCTCATTTGCTTACCCCATTTACTAGCAATGGAATTTTCCTGTGTGTCCTCCTGCCCCTCATTTCTTACCCTGTGTCCTGCAGCCCACAGGCAACAGTACATTTCCACATGTGTATTCCAGAAAACAGACTTCAGTGCCCAGGCTCAAGAATCTGAATTCATGCCACCAAGCCTTTCCTGATGGCTCCAGACCTCGCCTTAAAGCACTTTCTGTTGCACCCTGACCTCTACTATCTACTATCAGCTTGGACTATGTATTTATATTTTACATTGCCGTGTCAAATACCTAAGAAAACTTACAGGTGGAAAGACTGTCTCGGGGCATGGCTTCAGAGGGTTTAGTTAGTGGTCTCTTGGCTGCGTAGTTTTGGGACTGTGAGGAGGCAGAATAATGTGACAGAAAGGAAGAGGGGACAGGGTAGAGGGAGAGAGGAGGAAAAGGAGGAGGAGGAGGAGGAGGAGGAGGAGGAGGAGGAGCCGGGGACAGGATATACCCTTCAAAGGCATGCCTCCCACTTCCTCCCACCAAGCCTTATCTCCTACCAGCACACTTACCTATGAACTCATCAATGAGTTAACTCATTTAGGAACCTTTAGGAACCAATAGCCTCTGCATAGTGTTACCAGCTGGCGATCCAACCTTCAACACATGAACCTTTGGGGAGACAGTTCATCTGCATACCGCAACACCTTCCTATACTACATCACAACTGAATGAGCTAATCACACATTTATTTTTCTTGGGTCTGGAGGCTTGGTAGGGTTCTCAGGTTCTGTGTACACATCCTGGCTGATGTATGATGTATGTGTGGCTTTCTCTTTTCATAAGGGCATTGATCCCATCCTGAGTGTTCTACCCTTGTGACCTCACCTAGCCTTAACAGCCTCCTCCACTGGAAGTTAGTTTCAAAACAGGACTCTGAGTGGTGCATTCAGCACATAGCACTCAAGCTCAGGGGCCACTGATTTGGGCAGGGGAGTTTTCAAATATCTCTGATGGGTGCAATTTGCAGCCAGGGTTGAGGATCAGAGTATTTATTAGCTGCTCTCAGCATTTTGAGTACCCTTTTCCCTGTGGGATGGGTGAAGAGCTACCCTCTAAGCCCAGTTCCCTGCAGCTTCCTCGGTGTGCCCAGATCACCAGAAGTGGATCGATCCCATCTCCAGACTATAACGAGGTTATAGTTCGTTGTCTCCTGTCTAAACCTGGAACCACCCGAGTAAACCAGTGTCCTTTGCACAGTCCGCCACACACTGAACTCAGTGCACCCCTATCAGACTGCTTTGTGGGAGCTGGGGGTGGGTCTCAACTTACCCATAAACTCCTGGGCCCTGGAGTGGAGGAGCACTTGATGTGTTCCTCACCCAGGGGTACAAAAAAGCCCCATTGCCCTGTTACAGTTCATCTCTGACCTCCCTGTACCAGGACCAAAGGCCTGAGTACCATGTTAGTGCAGGGGCTGTGACGTCATCCTGCCCAGTTGTCCTGACGTCTGACACTGGCCATGTTTAATTTTAAGCAAAGGATTAAAGTTTGGGTGAGTTCAGAGGTGGGTTCAAATGCCACAGCCAATGAATGGCATAGGGTGAGGAAATAGATGGCGATGACTCGGAAGATCCAGTCCTGGGAGTCCCCGGAGACTGCAGAGCTGGCTTGATCACGGCTGCTTCCCGGGTTGCTGAGGTGGGAGTTTGGGGGAATCTTCTGTCTGCTGGGTTGCCAGGCCTAGGCGAGGCCCGACCAGATGCAGAATGCGAGACCTCAAATGGCCACCAGGTGGCGAGCCAGACCGCTCCGACCTCGCGCTGCAGAGCCAGCAGGTGGCGTGTTCTCCTTTTGCTGCCCCATGGCAGCTCCAGGCACCTGCAAAGAAAAGGCTTCAGGTGGGAGCGCTCAGTGATGAAGAGCAGCCCGCCAGCCTTGGTTTCCGCCGTGGCTTCGCGTTTTCAACTCTTAAGTCAAGTGCGTTCTAGGGAAGGGGGAAGAGGTTCTCTCGACCTCTCTTCACTGTCCCACTCAGCAGTCTGCAGTACACGAAAGACGTGTGACCGCTGGAGTCACTTCCATTTCATGTAGCGCCGATTTTAAGTCCTCAGTTGTCCTAGCACTAGTCCTAACTGTTCAAATGGAACGCCTCTCTTGGCTCCTGGGGAGCCTGGGTGGGGTGGCTGGTCCTGACAGCCCTCCTTCACTGTCTTGCTGGGGAAGAAAAGAAGATTGCAAGGTGTGAGTCTGAATTTAGTAGTGGCTCCATGGCTCCCAGGACTCTCCCAGGGCTCGATCTCCACAAGCTGGAGATCTAAATCTCAGCCTTAGCTGCTAGTGCCCCAACACGCTTGTCGCTCCCCACTTGCTTGGCTAACATTGGCTTTGTTGCTCTGGCACACTTCCCTCTGCGTTACACTGGACACTTCAGGTTACCCTGGAACCTCTGCTCCCCAGTGCACCCTCATGACGTGGGAAGGGGATACACAGCCACCTACATCCCTGATTCCCACCGGCATTCTAGGCTCCATCCTCAGCACCCCCAATACTGCCTCCGGACCTGCATTCCTCTCATCTCCCAT